TCTTGTTTATTCATTTCATTAACTTTTCTATATTAAGTTGTGGTGCATAGGAGAAAATTCTCCCCCGAGAATTATAAAAAGAGTTTATACTCTTAACTATGTACAAATTAAGAAATAAAACTTAAACAAACAAACAAACAAACTTTAATTAATAATTACGCAAAAAACTGAATCGTAAAATAATCAAAGTAAAAGCTTTTGAGTACCTACGAGATTATAAGCGCCACTTAATGTTATCAAACTTCCTCTTTCAAAAGAAAATGATAACAAAACTCTCAATAAGCATTTTCAAAAATATCTTTATGAGTAATGTTGATATAAATTTTATACTTCTAAGATTTTAGGCACTTATGAGGAACAATTAAGTGCTTCAATTCCATTTATTGCTGACTTCTATCACTTCAGAAATCGGGACTTCTCAGATATATTTCCTATGACGTTAATTGGCGCACTAAAGATAGCCGAAAGAAATCACACAACGGCAAGTGATGACTTAACAGTTAGTTTGTATAAGATTGCAGCAGTAAGATTGTATTTATGATCTTAAAAATAGCAAATTAACAATTCAGAAGGAACATGCATTTTGATAGATTTAAACTCGGCAAAGTCGAAATTTTTTTATCTTATCTAATCGTAATTCAACAATCTTCATATTGTGCTTCTTTTTGAATTAAATTTAACTTAAATTCGTTATAAGTTGACGTTCTTTTTCTTCCCATTATTATTATCAAGAAAAACTTCTTTTTTTTATTACTTCAGAATATGTTATCATACAAAGTATTGAATTAGTGATAAGAGATTTGCTGAATTAATCTTTATAAAACAAACTTTTTTCGGTTTTTCTGTTCAGTAACGTTTTGAGTTTCATTTCGAATCACCAACTTAGAAAAGAAAAAAATCTTCAAAATGAGTCGACTCGTATTTTGTGCTTATTCAACCTTTATTATTAGCATTATCATTCAAGCAGCAAGTTTGATTGATAAATGTCCTTCTGTGACAGATTTCCCATCAACAGAATTGAGAAGTTTCAGCGAAGAAGATTTCGCATGGCAATATCAAAAAAGTCTTGTGATTGCTTTTGACACGACAGGCTCAATGGAAGATGATTTAGAACAATTGAGAGAAGCTGCGATTGTAATCGTTAATGAACTATCTGAAAGGGAAGACAATGTCATTGAGAATTATATTCTGTCATTGTTCAATGATCCTTGTAAGTTTTTATTTTATTGAACTCTTAAATAAATTTATTAACTTTTTTTTTGTTTCTTTCTCAGATGTCGCAGAACCTTTTGTGACGACAGATCCATCAGAACTCATTGCAAGATTAAATGAAGTGGTAGTGAACCCCCCCAACAGTGATTGCCCTGAACCTGCCATGCAAGGAATGAAAAACGCTTTGGAAGTCGCTTATCCGAATTCTTTAGTTTTTGTTTTCACCGATGCCAGTGCCAAAGATTTTGAACTCTTCGATGACGTTGCGGGTTTAATTCNACTCTTAAATAAATTTATTTATTTTTTTTGTTTCTTTCTCAGATGTCGCAGAACCTTTTGTGACGACAGATCCATCAGAACTCATTGCAAGATTAAATAAAGTGACAGTAAGTGGGGGTGGCGATTGCCCCGAACTTGCTATGCTTGGGATTAAAAACGCCTTGGAAGTCGCTTATCCGAATTCTTTAGTTTTTGTTTTCACCGATGCCAGTGCCAAAGATTTTGAACTCTTCGATGACGTTGCGGGTTTAATTCAATTGAAACAAATTCGTGCATATTTTCTTTTGACTGGAAATTGTGGAGATTCAACAGCTCCAGGTTATCAAGTGTTTGAGAGAATTGCCCGTGTTAGTGATGGACAAGTTTTCAACATGAACAGAGATGAAGTAAGAGACGTCATGTTGGCAATTCGATTTGTTTTGGATCCTGGTTTCGTGTCGTTATTCTCATTAGACTTTGAAGAAGCTGGTTCAAATTCCACTGACATTGCAATCGATCCAAGCTTCACAAGTGTCAGTGTGGCATTGTCAGGCATGATGGCAGATTTGACAGTCAGAGATGCATCGGGCGACATTCCCAGTGGAGAACTTTTCTCTGCAACTAACATCAAAATTATGACAATTCCGGCTTCCAACACTGTTTTAACAGTTGAAGCATCAGCTGAGTCTGCTTATTCAATTCGAATCACTGGCATTAGTGCGATCCAATTTCGTTTTGGATTCAGTTCATCAACGCCAAGAAACTTAAATGAAACACAAATTTTGCCATTAAGATCGCAGCCAAATATTTTATCAATTTTCGCTTCTAATCCTTTGTTGATAAACTGCATGTTCCAAGTGAGTTTCATACCGGTCGATGACGACTTTCAAGTCATTGATATGGAATTAAAGAGAACAAGTAGCGACGTGTATTCAACGAATGTTATAAATATTCCAAGTAGACCATTCAAGATAATGGCGTACGGAGTAGATACAGAAGGGAACGAGATCAGCCGATTATTGTCGACAGGAATTGGCATCACAACCGTTGTTGTTTCTTGTTCAACCAAATGTGCAATAGACGGCACAGGCTTTGTTCCATTCAAGTACGATTGCTCGAGATATTACGTATGCATCAAGGGAGTCCAGCATGCCAGATCATGTCCAATTGGTGAAGCGTTCGATGTTTCTACGTCATCATGTGTCAGTTCTACTGGTGTTCGTTGTTTCAGAGATTCATGTCTTGATTAATAATTTCAAGAATTTAAAATAAAAATGAAATCAAAGTGAAATTAATTTTTTGTTCGCTAAACTCGAGATTCATTTTCACAAACAGCTTCGGTTAAAAGATCCAACAAAATTTCTATTTTAGCGTTTAACATGATATTTTGTTCTTGTAACTTTTGATTCTTTTTCAGAGTTTTTGTAACATCATCCAAGTCTTCATTCTTTTTCAAGTTTATCCAAACCCCATTTACGAATGTCAAACTTTTATCATTGCTTAATTTAAGTTCAATTCTCTTGAAATCATCGACTTCTTCAGTTAATTTCGGTGCTGTTGACAGTCGTGATTCTCTGGGCTTTAGTTGAAGTTTTGTGAATTTTTTTGCAAACATCGGCATCGTTTCAAATGCTTTATTTACTTAATTGTAATGAATTTAACACCTTTTATCGTGCGTAGCTTTTACAACTGTTTTGATTATTTTGTTGCCTTAGAAACTGTTATCATGCCTCGTGATGATTATTTCATCATTTTCATCATTTACAATTTTCGTTTTAAATGTTTTATGAATTTAAAATGATTAAATCAACTAACTAATGAGCTTGCTAATGAGAATGCTTGCAGAAATTCTTTTGTGGATGTGATAAACTAATGAAAAGTTAAAAATAACTCCAAAGTTTGTACAATACGTTGTCGTAGTAACTGTTGCTATCTAACGCAAACACTCAATTTTATATTCCTTTTTGTTTACTTTCAAAAATCCTGATTAAGAAACATAAAACTTATCTGGAAAGAAAACTAAATTATGAACATATTTGTTCCCCAATAAAATTTGAAACGCCAGAAAGCTTGCAATTATATTTTTGTAGACAAATCATAAAACTGAATTTATTTCTAAGAAAAAAGTTTGATGAGAACTCAAATTCAACATGACTGAGCAAGGAACTTCAACAACTCGTGATAACACTTTAGAAGGAAGTATTGAGTAAGTTGTTAGTTTAATATTTCAAATAATCATCAACTCTCATTCCTTGATTGATCATCTTAGGAATATCTTCCGTCTAATGAATAATTATGAGAATCTTGTAATGGAAATTGAAGCTGAACAAAAAAGATTTCGTTATGAAAATCAACATTTGAAGGAAAGTCTTGTTGCTATAATTGAAGAGAACAAACGATTAAAATCAGAAGAACAAGATGATCCACTCGGTGCTTTTAAAAACGATTACATCAAAGTAGCTGACAACATTTTTAATAATTTAAGGAATCAAATTCAATCAATTAATCAGGTTGGTTTGTAAACATCTGCTTAAAATATTTTAATTCAAATTATTCTTCTTAATTAAGGAGAAGGAAATGTTTGAAAGGCTATGGAAGAAAACTGCAACAATACTCGAGCAAGAAGTTCCTTTAAACTCCATGACAAAAGTAATTTAAATAATTTATCTTGTAATTGAAATAATTCCTTGATTCCCTTTAAGATAAAAAGTGATTATGAGTTGGAACTGAAACGCGTTAAAGAAGAACTTTTGACAACAACAAACCACAATGAACAGACCAATAAAATCAACGGCGCTCTTCAAGTTAACATAAAAAATTTAATTAAAAAAGTTGACATGATGCAAAGTCAAAATAAGAGTTTGAGTGAAAAGTTGAAAACATCGGAAGATGAAAGGAAGGAACTTGAAGCATGTCTTGAAGACTCAAATGAACTGAATAAAGAACAAATGAAAAAGGCTACAGAATCCTTGCAGAAGTTACAAGAAACTATTAAAGTTGCTGATGAAGCAATGGCAGAGATCGACACTCTAATGAAGGAAAAACATCAAATGCAAGAAGAGTGTGACAGTCTCGCTCATACAATTGGATCTGTTATGGAATCAGCGTCGGAAAAGATCAGCAAAGAGATTGAAGATCTTAAATTTCAACATTTAAAAGACTTGGATGATTCCAAGGCCGAGATGGAAAGATTGAAGCAAATGTTGATGTTGGAAAAAGCCAAAGTACGTTTCATTATTAAATACACTTAAAAATTCTACTTTAATTAATAATTTCAGACTGAAATTGCTGAACAAAAGGCAAAGACACTTGAAGAAAAATTGAAATCACTCGACATGACACAAACTTTTTGTGATGAAGATATAAAGACAGCAATCCAAACAATTGTAAGCTTAATTAAGTTTATCAAACATTTCTTAATAAATTTCAACATTTTCAGGAAGAAACAAATTCAAAAATCTTATCAATGAAACGAGCAATTGAAGTCGAGAAAGAACATAACAAAACATGCATTGAGGAAATCCAAAAGTTAAACAAAATCATTGAAAATAATCACAAATATAAAAACAAATGGAAAGTTCTTTTAATGGACATTACGAAAAAGCTTGAAGACAAAATTAATCGATTGGTCGTTGAAAATCAAGAGTTACGAACGTCGATCAAAGGTCGAAGGAAATAAAATGATTGAAACATTGTGCAATAAAAAATTATATTTTAATAAATTAATAACTAAAGGCTGAAATTATGTTGAGTTGAAGTATCAAGCACACACCTGATTGACAATGCTTACACTATCAATAGAAGCAACTTCAAACATCTATAAGAAGTCTCGTGAAGTGTAAAAAATTTAAATTGAGTTAAGTCGTGCGGATTTTCTTCAGAAATTTCTTTACAGATGATTAAAAGATTCATCATGAGAATTACGAGAGGAAATTGCATTTTCTAATGGTCATCCTTTGCTCGTTTCACACGCGTCCATCAGGAATTCCGTAGAGTCATTTGATGGAAGTATTTTCACCCTTTTTCTCCTCGTTTTTGCTTTTCTTTTTGTGATAGCAAATTAAGCAGATCACTGAGCATGTAAAAGGGAAGAAGTCGAAAAGGTGAAATTGTCATTCCGAGACATGAATTATTATTTAGAGTTGTTATTTCTCATCTTTATCTAAGCACCAAAAGACGTTTTATTTATGACTATTTTTAACTGCAGTCGAAAGCAATTCGGATAAAAGTTCTTCCTACTCCAACACAATTTAAATTAAAAATTTACTGCACAGCAAGGCAAAGCGCGTTATTTATGACTCTCATGACTCATTTTTTACTTCATAAAACAACTCTCGATGAAGGAGAAAAATTAAACAAATCTTTCTTACGTCTTGAAGGTGGAGGTTTCTCGTTTTATTTTTGTATTCGTCTTCTTCATTCATCATTTTTACCGCGGTAGCGATGAGCGAAAGATGATAATTTTTTAATTTTAACAAGTCTCTGAATGGTCTTTAAGGGGGTTGAATCGAGGATTCTTCATGAAAAATGTGTGAACATTAAAAAACGTGTAAGGAGATAATTTACATCATAAAAGGGAAGAATACTTAAAAACACGAAATTTCTGACTTTGTCCACGATGCTACTCCAAATAAGAAGAAGAACAAGAATCCCTCGCTAAGAAAATACTTTGGAGAGAAGAAAGAATTTTTATTTAATTTACTTCAGATTACGACTGTGCGAGAAAGCAATGGAATGAAACATAATGCGAGGGTGTGACGCGCCCTTGAATGGTAAAGAAAATTTCATATTAATTCGAACATAAACGCTATTTAAAAGGCCAACACAGAAAGGGGACCCAAAGAAAAGAGAAAAAAAATCTAATAAAGAAAAATGATGCCTTACGAACATAAAAGTTTATTTAATTTCGATTGTAATTCTTCGCTTTCGCCTTGTTCTTGCTTTCACGCCAAAAAACATTATTGCTGAACGATTATGGTCTTAACGTTATTTATTCCAATTTCATATATCAATTTGGTATCGAAGAAAATGCGAGCGAATAAATTAAATGATGGAAATTCTAATAAAACGTTATAGAGTCGCTTTGGGAAAGCTAAAATTTTATTTACTAATTATTCCGATTACGATGAGCTTAGAATTGCAGCTGATTAGCAATATAATTGGATACATGCGAGGATATTTAAACAGCATTTGCTTGTGCTTGTTTGAGGGTGGAGAAAAGTCATGAAAATATTGCCATGTTTGGATATCTCAAACAAACCGCAAAAGCCGCATCAATTGGGATTAAAGATCTCGATCTTGAGAGTCCATAAAAAGAGCGTCGCACATTGAATTCTATTATCACTTTTGATGCGGAATTATTGCGTAAAGTACTTTTTATGACTATTCGAAAGAAATGTTTAGAGATTTTGACCCCGAAATATGTTATAATAAATATTTCTCCATGAGAATCCATTAGGCAGAACAATAAAATAAGTAAAAGACATTTTTTTACAGTCATAAATAAAGATTACTTACTGGCTCATGTCGTTGAGTTATGCTACGAAATGGATCATCTTTCACTCATTGTTGAATGGATGAAATAACTCCCTCAAAATTTAATAACTTTAAAGACGAATTTCAACATGCTGCGGAATTTTTATGGACATCTTATGCAAATGTAATTTCCATCGGAATGGATGAAAGTATTTTCAAGATGAGAGAATCTAGCAGAACAAAAGAAAAAAATAAATTCCATCATTATGCAAAGATGACGAAAAGACATTTAAAAGAGTTGAGATGAGAATTATCACCCTTTCCATACAAATGTCTTATAATCATGAGACGATTCTCTTGATGCGCCGCAGTAATAAAAAATTGTCAAGGCACTTGATCTCGAATGGAGCCGTCTCTCTAGAGGATTTGAATGTTTTACGCTTAAAGCCTTGTAATCCTTAATGAATATGCAAATTGTGTTAATTAAGAAATGAGACAAATTGGAGACAATCTAAAAGCATTTTCGCAAGAAGCCATGAAGTCATTTCCAGCACTACTCAACTTTCCAATGTCGTTCTAATAATAAATAAACAAAAAAGAAAAAAGAGCTGCACCATCTGCCCATGAAATGATCTTTTAACATCAGTCAGTCAGAGTGCATTTAAATAATCATTTGTCAACTAAGTTTAGCATAAAATTGCAATCAAAATGGACTCTGGTCAGATATAAGCAGCACGAGAAATAACAATCATCTGGGTAACATACGGTTTTGATGACCGTAAAAAAAAGAATGGAAACATCTCCAATAATAATAAAAAGATATCGTTAGAGTTCAGAGAGAAATGGAAATCTGATTCAAATAAAAATTGTTTTTAATAAAAAAAAATTAAACAATATTTCATTTATCATTGAGAATTAAATGCATTATCGAAACATGCCGTCGGTCATTTCTTATTATTATTGTTCATTTATTCGTGCAAGAAGGGTAAGTAAGCAATCGAACATCTCATTGACTCTTTGTACAAATATTTTATGCAATTTCTCTTATATTAAAGTCAATAAAGACCATTCACTATTGTTTAGCAGATGACAATAAAAGAAATGAATTTTACTTTGATAAAGTTGTAATCCGTGATTTAAGAATTTTACTTTCGTCACGACAATGAACGAATAATTCTTTTATTTCATATCACAACAATTACAATAAAATGTAATTAAATGAAAAGTTTTGCTAATTCTCATGAAATTGGAAAGAGAACGAAATAAATTCTCAATTTGTCTGATGTGACTTAAATGTTGCGCAACATGAGAGAGATAGAGAGAAGAATTCTTTTCCTTTTATTTAAGGCAAGATAATTTAGATTATTATTGAAGATCGAAGGGAGTTCAAAGAAGTCGATAGAGACAGTTACAATTGAATCTTTCAAGAGTTCAGATGTACGTTAGAATGAGAGAAATTCAAACTTTTTTCAAGCATTTTCGGTGGTCCACATTCTTCAATAAATATCACTCAACCGTTGACAACAAAAGACTGACATCGAGTGTGGTGACAAAAGACATAAAAGACACTCTTGAAATTTAAAATAAAAAGAAATGTTTCGACTTATTTCTTGAAAATATTGCCTTAAATTTGTTTCTTCTACTTAAGATCCATTTAAACGCGCTGTTACAAAGGAAAAATATGATTCCTTGAATATTTTGACAATCACAATAAAAATTTCACGGTGCTTTACTAGCACTTGCGTCTCTCAACATGATAATGCTTCGCAGTCGATTTACATAAATTGATTTTCCACGGGTTACTTTTATTTTATGATAATTCTTTCCGACATTCTGCTACAAAGCTCTTTGCTTGGTGCGAGATTTTGTGGAGGAAAATTTTCAATTTATTACTTTGTAAGTTATGCAAACTTTATCGCAAATGCGCAATGAAATCTTCATTAGAGCTCCATAAATTTATGAAAAGAAATTCACAAATTTAACCAGCAAACAGTTAGTAAGTCACATATTGTGCTATTGCAATGCTTGCAGCATCTGACTTAACTAATTGGTACAACAAGACGAGTTGTGCTAATTAATATTACCCTCGTGAGTTTTGCAGACATTCGCCGACTCATTCCATTCTGTTTTCTTTTAATTGAATCGAAAATGCATTCGTGAAACGTAAAGAAAAACTGCTTGTTTTACAATCCCAAGCATCATGTAAATGCGAACATGTGTTTAGCCAATTTATTGAACTGCTACTTTATTTATAATACCATCGAATGACGATATTGAAGTAAAGCGAAGGAAAAAAAGACTTCAATTTGATTTTTTTCCTACAAATTCGTGAATTGTTGTCGAGAAATTTGTTTTAGTTTAAATCACAAAAGGAAAGACAAGAAAAAGAAACTTTTTGGAATTTGCAAACAAAAGAATAAAAAAATTTATTTTGCTTACACAAGACCAGCAGAAATGTCTTTCAGTTAGTTGTTTATCTTGAACAAAAGGACCATAACGCGAGATCAATAACCGTGAAGGAAATTGGAAGAGAATTAGTGATTGTTTGTTGAGTCAGTTGTTATGACAAGTAGTTTGGCTAAATCGATTTTGAATAAATTTCTGTAACGTTTCGTTTGTGATGAAATCAAAGTTTCGAAAGTTATTAACTTAAATTTTGTAAAGTCAGGTCAGTGATTCATTCCTGGACTTCAATCACATTCTTAAACTTATCATTGACATAAATCTAAGAAATCTTTTAACGCATTTTTTTAACAAAAGAAGTCAGCAGAAAAATGTTCTTCATTGTCGAATGAAGTTGAAAGTTCTTCAACTTTGGTCAAAAGAAGCGTGCCGATGCTTCCATTCTAGTTGTATTCACAAAAAAAATCTTTCAGAAAGAATGAAAAGGTCTGAGAGAGAAGAGACTTAATAAGGAATTCGTATCAACTGCATATCACAACATTTCATTCCTTTTCTGAGATATTGAATGTCTTTGTCTTCATGTAAATTGATTAACTTGATATTGCATTGAATATGGATATTTGTGATGCTTCCAAGCTTGATAATGCAAATAATTACTGTTGCTAGTGCTACTAACAATGCCTCATAAGCTATTTTAATTAATAAGATTCACAACTGATTTAAATACTTGATCGCAATGGAAGATTCAACAGCGTCTTCCTTATGAGTCAACCAATGCTTGGTGCTTTGGAAAGCGACACTATTAGCACATCGATATATGAATATAAGCAAATTTTTGTATAATTAATGAGATGGTTGACTTATGTGTAACTGAAAAAGTTTTCTTATTTTCATACTAAATGACATCAGTCAAACTAATTGCTTTCGATCACCGATCACTTAAAAAGATTTCATAAGAAAAATTTACTTTCGATTGATAATCGACGAATTGTGATTGTAGAAATCTTTTTGTTCTGTTTTAATGACTGATTGGCGCTTCGTGATAAGATGGAATAAAACTTTCCGTTGACAATCGAAATTATTGAGAAGGAAATGTCGCTATTTAATGTAAAAAGTGCATAAAGTACCCAACTGAGATAAGTTTTGTCGTCTGGAGACAATATTTTCCTGATCAACCATCAAGAGTTGTCAACAGTCATCAAGTGATTGAGCGATATGGAACGTTGAAATATATTTCTCTTGTCTTGTTGTCTCCAATCGAGTTCGGACGACTTTATGCATAATTATCTTCTCGATTTTCTCGTTCATGAGAGAATTTGTAATGGAAAGACATGAATCAAGAAAAATTAATTTTCTGAAGCAATTTCATTGGTAATCAATCAATTTTCAATTATTTAAAATTCTACGTTGTGGTTATCAATTAGAACTGAATCAATTATTAGATCTTATTATATTTTATTTATCTTTCATCTCTCTGACGTTGTCATTCTCGCATTTTATTGCTTCTCTGACCAGCTTCGTTGTTGTTGATTCTTCCAGCAACTTGCACGATTAATTTTCTTTCTCTTTTCTCAAGCGCCGCGTACTTTCCCAATACATAAATTTTATATTTTTCAACAGCCATTTATTGACTGCTGGGGAATTTTTAATTTGATGAATATTTAGGAAACATTCTGAGATAAACATCAACAAATGTTTAGCATTAATTTGCAGCATCTCTAAACGCGACTTGTTATGAATAATTCATGTGGATAATTTAATTACTTAATTAGATATTTATGAGATCACTTCATCGATGAGTTGCTATCTGTTTCTTTATTGTAAGTATCAGCTTTTAACTTTATTCCTATTGAGTACTTGACAGTCTTGGGTATCAGTGTCAATATGATAGTCACAATGATTTATTGCTAATAGAAATAAATGAAATAAGTTTCAGCTTTCTTTCTTTCTTATGACTTACAAATAAACAATTCTAATCCTTAAATAGCATCAGAAATTAAGTGTATTGACTTTACGATTGTAAAAGAAATTGTAAAAACTCAATGCAACACGAAAAAGTAATCTAAAATGTAAATTGATCCATCGCTATGTTATATTGCAACGAAAGTCTGCATGGAACCTCCACCAGTAATAATTTGCATGTTGTGATTCTTGTAACAAAAAAGAAATCATTGAAACGCGATGAGCTTGAAAGAACAGAGAAGAATGAAAAATGCAAAAAATTATTGCACTAAATTGAAATGACCTGTTGTGTTTTACTTTCATTTGATTAAATGAATCCAATCTCACTTGTAGCATCATGCAATGCTAAACTCATGAAGATTTATGTTTCGAATTTACTTTTGATAAGAAAACTTTTCATGTTAACATTAACATAGTTTTTTATTGAGAAAATTTCTTAATTGCTTTATTTGCCACCTCATAATGATGCAACATGATATTTTAATTAAAATTTAAATTACTTCTTTCGCAGTTGGGCATCATTGTCAAAAAAGTTACTTTGGAAATATTTTCCCCATGAAAGTTCATGAATAATCATCTGAACCGCATCTTACACTTCACAGTCGTTTAATCTCATTAAGAAAGTGTTTAAAGAAACATCATTTTAATCTTGAAACTTGCGCAAAGGGGAATTATGGAAGAAGGAATTGCGACTTACACCAAGTAATCCGATATATGTCAAGAAATCTCTCGGATCTTTGACGCTTGAGTGCAAAATCTTGTAAACTGTTTCGGAAGAAATAATCAAAGGACGAGAATGACGTGGGGTTGATGAAATTTTGTATTCTTTATGCTAATTTTAATGAACTCAAGATTTCCTTAAAGGAAGCTCAGCCAATTAATCGGCAGAATGTTTCTCTGCTTTACTTCAACTTCCAAGCGATTTATTTTAATTCAGGAAATTGAAAAAATGCTAATTCACTTCCCTTTATAATCTTTAATGCTTTTAACAGAAAAAAACCATAAGTTTCCAATTTGTTAAAGTCTCCTTTGTTTTCTAAAGTTGAGATGAAACACTTTTAAAACTGTTGAATAATAAAAAAAAATCAGCAGGCATGCGGCGATTTAAAAATATTATGAAGAATATTTCACACCAGCAGTTGATATTTAGATGAAAATTAGTCATGATGGAAACGGATTAAAGTAGATGTGTGCATAATCTACACTTCGTGACAAATTCTACGAGAGTTTTTCAGACATTTATTAAGTTATTCGTTAGATTTGCTTCATTTTGCAATTTATTGCTTGGGAACAAAAACAATTAAAAATTATTTATTGCTGATAACAGAAAAAGTTTTGTCCTATTTTAAATCGGAAGCATTAGATATGTGAAGCTATTTAGAGACTAAAATAAATTTTATTTAATTCAAAACTGATTGCAAAGCATTGATAAACTGTGTACATAAGTATGTTAAGACTAATTTCTGATACTTTAATTAAACCTTTTGGCTAAAAATGAATCATCTGTTTAATTCACTCAAATTTAAAGAATAATGTTAAGCCTTTTCATTCAACTCATCTATGGAACAACAAAAGGGGTCAAAGTTAATCAAATCGCTTTAAAAGGATGAATTTAACTTCTTGTCACAATATTTATTCGCTATAAAAATTGATGAGCAAGAACATGAAAACCCCGAAACGAGAAAAAAGTTTAAAATCCAATAAAAGTCTCTATTCTATTGTAAACATTACCGGCTAAATGTTCGACAAATGTTACATCAGGGAATTTGAAAATATTTTCAACATTTTTTTTCCTTTAACTTTCACTTTCGCGAGACATCGATTTTTATTGCTTTTTTATTTTCTTTTAAGTGCACAATGAAACATTTTTCAGTCAGGGCGCGAGAATGAAAAGAAAGAAAAAACACTTTATTAGCCAACATTAAACTCCCACCCCCACAATTGACATTCAAGATTGTTTCGTTTGGCAATAAATATGAATTATTTTTGGATGCTGCGAAAATCTTTCTTGCAGCCTTCATTCCTCCAGATGTAGCATATTGTGAATTTCCTTTCCACTTTTTTCATTCACGAAAACGAAGAGAGGAAATAAAATTAGCATAATAATGTAATGCTTCAAAAGCTTGTAAAGTAGCAAGTGTTAAAAAAATCCCTGCAATCTGTGAAAGCGCATTCATAACTTAAATGATGATGATGATGAAAAATACTTTTTTTCTTTTAAAATTTACTTTAATTTGTGAGGTCAGAGTGAACCTTAAAAAAAGTCGTGATGTTTGTAAATCGTTTATTCATCTTCAGTTGTTTTTGAGTTAAAGAAAGAAAAATTAATATGAAACTCGTGCTATGAAAACTCAAAAAGTGCTTCTTGAAAATTATAAATTCGGACAGAAGGAAACATTAAATTAAGTTTTACGAGTAAGCTGTGAATCACACATGAGAGAGAACGTTCTTTAATTTGAATAAAAGGTATAAAGCCATAAAGATAAACATCGAGAAAATTATGATCGCTTCAAAAAAATTAAAATTTTTGAGGAAATTTATTCCAGAAGAAACTTTTTTTTCGAGGGTCTTCTGATTACTCGAGATTTTCAAAATCAGATAAGAATTGTTCATTCAGAAGAAGAACGACAAAACCTTCATGATTATATTCATAAATTATTTGTTACGAACTTAGTTTGGTGTTTTATTTATAGAATCAAATGGCAGAAGCACCATAAAGTTGGAGACGAAAAGGTGGAAAACAATTAAGTTTTTAACAGATTAGAGATTTCCGGTACTTTATGGCTTTCAAGATTTCGTTGAATCCTTTCGAGTTTCAATTTCAAAATAAAATTCTACTGAAAATAAAAAAGAGACTCGAAAAGTCTTATCAACGATGTATGATCGACGTCTTGTATATGTTGAACAATAATTAACGACGAATGACTAATTTAGCATGAAGATTTCATTTCCATGCAAATTTTGTTACACACATGCGGGGGTGGAAAATTGTTATCTCTTCAACATTCCCTAAACATTTTATGACTTTACATTAACCCACATGCGACTTTCATTGTTGATGTTTAATTGCTAGATTTGTCTCTTGATGAACATTTAAAACAATTTCAGATGAATGTGAACATTTACTGAGATTTCTGCTGCATAATAAAAAGGAAAAGTCGCCATTTGTCATGTTAACTTCGAATTTTTAATCGTTGATTGCTTTTGTAATTGAAATTAGTCGAACAATTAATTATCGAGTTGTTCGTGTGTCTGGTGCAATAATGAGAAGTGACGTGATGTGTCGGATTTTCTTTTATTGTCTGTCATCAATGAAGCTGCTCAGGATGAAAATGCTACGCAATGAAGAAGAAGTTGAAGGAGAGTTTTCGGTTTCTTGCTTATGTTTTGTGCACGTATGGAACATGATGATAACTTTCGCTCCAGTCTCGTCCTGAGAACCGATATTCTTACTTAAAATTCGTCCAGCATAACCAATCCGTCCATGCGACGTGTTTCCATCCGTAAATCGATTGATAAAAATAATGTGGAACAAAAGCCAGCAACTTGTTGCCACGTTCGCATGCTTTCTGATGGTCATGAACATTGCCGGCTTTTTGTTTTCTACTTAGTTTTCGACCTGCAATTGAACGCTTGCTCGATTCATCATTAAAGATGGTTAGTTAAATTTATGATACAAAAAATCTTTTCTCATCTTCCCCCCAACCGACAATTGATGTCATGTCGAACGTGTCGTGTCGCGGGTTTGCTTTGCTTACTTAAAAGCATGTCGCACACAACACAACAAGGCGGAGCTTAATTGTAAAACCAATCACGTCTCGTAAGCAGAATGGAGAGAAAACGTACGCGAAAGCATCAAAGTTACACACACTACTAAACCATTTTTGAAAATGTGTTGTAATCATACAATGTTGTGCACCGTCAAGTTGAAGAGCGCCAAATGATAAGACGTCACGTACCGCCCATTTGCCCAACTTACTCATATTCGCAACTCCAAGTTTCACGAGAAAAAATGTTCTTATTAGAATTTTCCTAAAAGAAAAAAAGAGTTGGAACCAAAGTTTCCCTACAATACACTCAAAAGCGACACTACTGTGGCGTTCGTGATACTAATTTCAAATGCATGTGACGTCTCAATGTCCTTGTTTTCCTCAAGCATATCACACCGACTAGCCGTTGTTGAAGTGTAGCATTTTCTCACTAGATTTTCTCACGTGGTAGCAATTCTAATTTCTTCTACAAACGTTCAAAAAGCTATTTTAACAGCTGATGACATTTCTGGCAATGAAAATTGAAATGTCAGGAAGTTTAATAGACAAAACATTTAACTTATGACTTTTGAAATGTTTAAGCTTCGACAGAGCATGAATTTTTATTGAACAATTATTGCAGTTGACACTTCATGCTGCAAAAATTGAAATAGTATTTAAAGGGTTGGTAGTTAAATGTACTTCGTATGTTAATATTAATAAACTTTAATGTTTTGCAAAAAAGATGATGATAGAAATTCCAAATTTGTTTTAGTTTTACAAGTTGGGCCTATCACATGTGGTCTGTAATAATACCTCCTGAAAAATGTCACTAAATTATCAATAATAGAATGAATTTATGGAAAGTGAAGAAGGTCAACAAAAACATATTTTCTTGCTGAAACAATTAAAGAAATATGATTGTAATTTCAGTTTTTTTTAATATTTGAAAGATTTTTCCAACTCGTACTGAAATTGCTAAAATTATTTTTTAATACTTTCTTTTAGAATCAGTGTGTGACNAGAAATTTTATACTTTTTTTTTGAGAGTAGAAATGGAAGCACGAAAATAAGGTGGAAAACAATTAAGTTTTTAACAGATTAGAGATTTCCGGTACTTTATGGCTTTCAAGATTTCGTTGAATCCTTTCGAGTTTCAATTTCAAAATTCTACTGAAAATAAAAAAGAGACTCGAAAAGTCTTATCAACGATGTATGATCGACGTCTTGTATATGTTGAACAATAATTAACGACGAATGACTAATTTAGCATGAAGATTTCATTTCCATGCAAATTTTGTTACACACATGCGGGGGTGGAAAATTGTTATCTCTTCAACATTCCCTAAACATTTTATGACTTTACATTAACCCACATGCGACTTTCATTGTTGATGTTTAATTGCTAGATTTGTCTCTTGATGAACATTTAAAACAATTTCAGATGAATGTGAACATTTACTGAGATTTCTGCTGCATAATAAAAAGGAAAAGTCGTCATTTGTCATGTTTACTTCGAATTTTTAATCGTTGATTGCTTTTGTAATTGAAATTAGTCGAACAATTAATTATCGAGTTGTTCGTGTGTCTGGTGCAATAATGAGAAGTGACGTGATGTGTCGGATTTTCTTTTATTGTCTGTCATCAATGAAGCTGCTCAGGATGAAAATGCTACGCAATGAAGAAGAAGTTGAAGGAGAGTTTTCGGTTTCTTGCTTATGTTTTGTGCACGTATGGAACATGATGATAACTTTCGCTCCAGTCTCGTCCTGAGAACCGATATTCTTACTTAAAATTCGTCCAGCATAACCAATCCGTCCATGCGACGTGTTTCCATCCGTAAATCGATTGATAAAAATAATGTGGAACAAAAGCCAGCAACTTGTTGCCACGTTCGCATGCTTTCTGATGGTCATGAACATTGCCGGCTTTTTGTTTTCTACTTAGTTTTCGACCTGCAATTGAACGCTTGCTCGATTCATCATTAAAGATGGTTAGTTAAATTTATGATACAAAAAATCTTTTCTCATCTTCCCCCCAACCGACAATTGATGTCATGTCGAACGTGTCGTGTCGCGGGTTTGCTTTACTTACTTAAAAGCATGTCGCACACAACACAACAAGGCGGAGCTTAATTGTAAAACCAATCACGTCTCGTAAGCAGAATGGAGAGAAAACGTACGCGAAAGCATCAAAGTTACACACACTACTAAACCATTTTTGAAAATGTGTTGTAATCATACAATGTTGTGCACCGTCAAGTTGAAGAGCGCCAAATGATAAGACGTCACGTACCGCCCATTTGCCCCAACTTACTTACTTACACATTAAAAAGATATCCTTGATAGAATTTCCCAGCATTTGTTTCAACGTTCACCAACATTTACAGCATTCACAAACACATCAGAAATTTTGTTATTTTTTTTCTTGTCGGCGTTCGTGATACTGATTTCAAATGCATGTGACGTTCCCACTTCTTTCTTCTTCAGCCTTCTCTAGTTTTTTTTCTTTTTTCTTTTTGAGCCATCAACAAAACAGCGCACGACGACTAGCCAGTTAGACACAACTCGAGTCTTCAAACGCACGTATTTCAATCTCTGGTTGTTTTTATTTTCTTCCTTTTTCTTGTGTGTTGCCTCCACCAAGTTTGGAGCTCGTGAAAAGCATTTTTTTGCTCTTGTTTTTGTGTATTCAAAGAAGAATCAGCTGACAAACAATTGAACAACTGTCTAGTTGTTGTCTTTTGTTTCTCGGTTCCAGTCGCTATTGAATATCCGTTTGTTATCCATAATCGTTTAATGGATCCTTTCAATTCGTGCGCCAGTGTTATTACTCAATCGTGACTACCGTTAACTTAAGAAAAGAGAATAAGTTCAAGGTTGGATGTGAATTAACAGTCACAGTGCTTCCTAGTGAATGAAAGTGTAATGATGAACTGTATCAGTGTTCGATGAATGCGAAAAGATTCGTGCATAAAATCCTGACAATTACGTGAAAGACTTAAAACGTGAAAGTTATAACATAACAAAATGCTTCCTTACTCTGCTGTTGCTGCCATCGACTACGCCGCTTATCAGTCACGTCCGGGTCTGACGACATCAAATGGAGCGCCTCTTGGCGCGTCATTCACCCACTCGTGGTTGGTACCGACGCAGGATTTATGCGGCGTAAATTTTAAGCCTGATCAGCAGCAAAATCAGCTTATTGTCGACCCTGGGCATGTTGAGAACTTTTTTTTTATGTTTTTGTTATGTTTTTCTATTATTTTTGTTTTTGTGTAAAACTTTCTTTAACGTGGGAAAAGAAAACTGAAAACTTTGATTCATCCATTAAATTTTAACGCTTTTCCGGCCACAACAGAAAAGTGGTTTCTTATGTTTACTATCGTTGCGTGAAATTTAAATCGGTACAAAGAATTTCTTTCAATTCCTTGAACCTCGACAGGCCATCAGATCAGAATCAAAGTAAAGATGAAGGGGAAACGATGATTGAAAATTGCGATTGCTTTTCGCTTCACTTGAATGGCTTTTGATGTAAACACATTTTTCAATTTCTTATTTTGTTATTAATCCGTTTTGTGGATGATGACGAGCTGAGAAAAAGCAGTCAATTGGAACATTATTCTGGTGATGAGTTTATTAGAAAATCTTTTAATATGTTGCACAATTTTTTTCTTCTTCTTTCTTGTGGAATTAAATTTTATTCAATTGGTTTCGGTTTAATGTTGTAAAGCAATTTTCGCATGAAGTTTCTTTTTATTTTATAATTTTTGGTTGATTAATTGTTGCTTTCTTTGTCATTATAGAAGGTTTAGGGATTTAATTAGTTGAATTAGTAGTACAAAGGGAAGATTGACATTCGTTCATCAATCGACAATAAGTTTAAGTTAAAGGGAAACTTGAGAAGGAATTGATGATGTTCTCTAATGCTTTCATCAGTATTTTCGATTCCTTTTAGCTCTTCAATTTTATGACCGAAGGAGAAATCTATTGAATTATCATAAATAAATATATTTGCACATCTGATCATCAGCATCAACTTCTAACCGAAATGAAAGCAAACATTTCTTTCTTTCTTTTTTTCTATTCTTGTTTCTCACACCCACGCTTCCCAAATTTTCGCTACGTCTACTTATCATAAATAATTTTCACAATTCGATTCAATGCGAAAATGTTTTCATTGCACATGGAATCATCTAAACTCGATGTCTAATGCTGTGGGTGTTAAAGCTGGAGGGTCAAATTGACCAAATTGCCTCAAATGTACACACTTGAATATGCCCAACAAAAAGACATAAAGCGAATCCTCCTGGGATGAAATAAAATATTTTTCTTGTGCAAAAAGCGAGAGAAATATCATCAGATGTGAGGCATTTGAAGATGATGCAAGAGAATTAAGAAAGGAAAATATTTTTATGTTTTCTCGATTTCACTTCTTGCCCTCGCTTGTTTTATTTTTTGTTTCCTTCGACTTCAGGATGATTCAATTATCGTAATAATTTTCCTTTGAATTATTTTCACACTTTTAGTTTCTTTTATTCGCTTTATGTTCACATTAAACATTTCTTATGTTCATAGCATAATCGTAAAGTGTGAAGAAGAAGAACGAAAAAGAAAATTGTCAGGTCAGATGGGAAATTTGTCGTAAATTTTGTATCATCATTTATAGACATTTTATCTCCCATGATAGATGCATCAGCTAAAAAGAAATTGCTTGTGTGGGTGGTTTCTTCATTCTCCTTCATAAATTGCATAGAGACATTCGACAAGATAACTAATTAAATATTTGCATTTTTGATTAAATTCATCCCAATGAACTTCTCCATTTCCCTTCAACTTCCACTCGTTGACCCTTCGCTTCTTATGTAATTCGAGTTAATCAGTCGAAAAAGAAATTTCGGTCAATCAAAAGCTGACTTCAGATTCATACTTAAATAACAATAGATTGGTATGATTTTGATCGAAAAACGGAAGTTAATCAAGTGAATATTATTTTCCTTTCTCGTCTCCCTTCATTTCGAGTCTTCTAATTCCGCTTTTGAAACCCTCAAAAAAAATAAAATTCTTTTGATTGATCGGAAAGTTATTTCTTGATTTTCGGTTGGTTTCTGACACTGACATCAGTTCAACATGTATTTGAGCAATTATTAGGCTTCAAGTTTGTCTTATGAATGTTTTCTTTCTTCTTTTTATAGTATTTTGGAGTTGCGCAAGGAGAAGTCACGTGATGCTGCCCGATCGAGACGTGGGAAGGAGAATTATGAGTTTTATGAACTGGCAAAGATGCTTCCACTTCCCGCCGCAATAACAAGTCAGTTGGATAAAGCATCAATCATTCGACTCACAATCAGTTACTTGAAGCTTCGAGACTTCACACAACATGGCGATCCGCCTTGGAATCGTGAAAGCAGTCACACGAATAAAATCCTTAAAAGTAAGTCAATTTATTTGTGTATCATTGTTCCAAATAATTAAGTCAAATTATACTTTAAAAGATTTATTAATATTTACATTTCTCCACCCACACTTGAATAATTTTCAATCTAAATAAGCGCAAGAAAAAATTATGCAAATTTTCTTCGCTCTCATTTAACTTTTCTTTAAAATATGTTGCTGAATGAAAATCTGCTTGCTTTCGAGTTCATGTCATCATCGTTTGTGCTTATTTGCTGGTAGCTGATGTATTATTACATTACTTCATTCACCCCTCTTGTCATCATGCAATCATGGCAATGACAATTCATATTCCCATCTTTTTCCCTCGCCAATTTAACGCTGCTCTATAATTTGCAACAATACAATAAATAGTGACTAATGATGTATGATCGATAGGAATTTTGTGTTCTTTTTTAACTCAAAAACAGTATTGAAAAAAAGAAAAACAAAATATTCAAATCGAAATTCAAAGTTTCACTCGTCTCGCAATTTGTCTTCTCATTCTTTTGACTATTTTTTTTCTAAGACATTTTCTCAGTTTCAATATCGCCAGCATTTATTTTCGTTTGTTGCTGCTTTTGTTACAGTCAAAATGAAAAAAAAATATATAAAAACATTATTTTGACTTTAAAAATAACGAAACACAAATGGAATAACAATGAGGTATCAGCAATGCCATCGTCATATGAAAAAATGGTTTATTTGCTTCGAAAGTTTTATGAGAGCGAAGAAAAAGAAAGAAAAAAAAATTATTTTAATAAAAATATTCGCCATTTTGTTGAAGCTTTTACTGTATTATTATTATTTATAATTTGTTGCAATGATTCAAGAGTTTTGTACATTGAAATTCATTCGTCATACTGAAACTTAATGTTTATTACTTTGCAGGCATTTCTGCAAACTCAGCTCGAAGAACGCCAGCAAGTTTAGCTTTGGAGTTGTTCGAACAACATCAGGGAACTCACATTCTACAGTCACTTGACGGCTTTGCTCTTGCTTTAGCAGCTGACGGAAGATTCCTTTACATTTCTGAAACAGTTTCCATTTATTTGGGATTATCGCAAGTGAGTATTTTCACCTTATAGACTTAAAAATACTTAAAGTTGTTGTAAAAGATTTCCTTCTTCAACACGATTGCTTCCCTTCTTAATCCATCCGAAAACTCATTGAGAAACTTAGAAGTTGAATCTAACATTCGTAACACGTCCATCCCAGAAGATAAAAAAGGAGAAAAACTCAAAGGAAAATCAATATAAAGAAAATATTTTCTCGCTTAAGGAAAATAAAATAAAATTTTCTGTCGAGAAAGCGAAATAAAGAAAAGTTGTGAAAATTCTTGTTCATAAAGCTTGATTATAGATTTCACATTTGTCTCTTGGGGAAATTAACGTAAAGATTGTCAAGTCAAGATGGTTTCTTATCCTTTTTATTTCGATTTGTCCCACAAGAGCTTTTCACATTCAATCGACTAAAATAAACATCAAACGCCATCATGAGCGACCATCATTTACCAAGAACTACTCAAGCTTCCTTTGTATGCGCAATTCAATCTTCTAATAAAAACAAAAGACAAAATGAAGTCGCATATCTATCTTAAATATTCAACTTTATGTAATTATTATTCATGTCTTCAACTTTTGATTTCCTTTTCGGTTTATTTTTGTTTTGTGGTAATATTTTTTACTCGTTTCATTATTTTTATTTTAAAAACTTTTTATTTTACATTTCGTTGAAAATTTATGCTAATTTTATTATCAACTTTGTGTGTGTGTGTGTTTGTTGAAATGTTCATTAAATATGCTGACATGTCGGTAATTTATTATTCACAATAACCGCATAAATTTATTTTCCAGGTTGAAATGGCAGGCAGCAGTATATTTGATTATGTCCATCAAGGCGATCATGCTGAGGTTGCTGAACAATTGGGGTTGAGTCTAACGGGACATTCCCAAGGAATGGCGTCACCATCATCGTCGGACGATGGCACAACACATGGAACAATGAATCCAGATGGTAAGATAAGTTCAGAACGAACTTCTCTTTATGACAGTTCCGATGTCGTAAATTTAAATTGAATTTTCCACTTTCAATTCATTTATTCTCAGTGTCATCATCGATGTCAATCCAATCAAATAACAAATACAAAGGCTTTGAGCGTGCTTTTTGCATTCGAATGAAGTCAACATTGACAAAACGCGGATGTCAATTTAAGCAGTCAACAGGACATCGAGTAAGTGAAAGCAAAATTAAATTAATAAAAGAATTTTTTCACCTTCGTTGTTCATCATTAAAAGTTTTAAGAATAAGAAAAACATTTTAAAAAAAAGCATTCAAAAAATGTTAATGTTATCGTTTAGGATGGTTCATCGAACAAGGCTAACGCTAAGCAATCGAATGGTCATTATTCGGTACGTAAATTAATTAAATCGGTTTGATGTGTGACAACTCTTGTTGGAACGTGAGACGCTTGCCCCGGATGTGGCTTATTTTTGTTTTCAATAGAAAATGTTCATTGTTTACATCTTGAAACGATCACATACTGGTTCAATTGATTTTCTAATATCGAATGATCGTCATTGATAAGTCAGAATGATTCAAAAGCTTTGTAACATGACCTTAACATTGTCATTGTCACGTAACTTTTGTAGCATTCCTAGAATATTTTCAATTGATTCTTTTCATAAACATTTTCGTATTTTTTAAGTATTATTAACGAAATCTTTTCTCTTTTATTTTGTTACATTTTTTCAACAACTTTATTTAGGTTGTCCTCATGCTTTGTCGTCTTCGACCTCAATACTCATTTAACCAAAATAAAAAATCTCAACCGCCATTACTTGGAATGGTTGGCATCGCAATTGCTCTTCCACCACCATCAGTTCATGAGATTCGATTGGAATGTGATATGTTTGTAACGAGAATCAACTTTGATTTTAGAATAGCGCACTGTGAACCGAAGTAAGCTGAATTTTAAATTCCTTTTTTATTAATTTAATTAACTTTTACTTATTTCTTAGGATAACAGAAGTTCTCGGTTATTCAACAGACGAATTAGTTGGTGAAAGTTTATACACACTTTGTCATGGTGAAGATGCTTTGAAAATAAGAAAATGTCATTCAGATTGTAAGTCATTCATTAGCTTACGATTATATTAAAAAATGATTAATTAATTAATTTTCCAGTAATTGAAAAAGGTCAAGTTTTAACACATTATTATCGGATTATGAACAAGAATGGTGGCTACACATGGATACAAACTTGTGCAACGATTGTATGCAACGCAAAAAACAACGATGAACAACATATAATTTGTGTAAATTATGCTATAAGTGCAAGAGAAAACACAAACATTGTTATGGATCAATGTCAGTTGGAGATTATTAAGAGGGAAGTTCGAGAGTCAGTGCCGATAGAAAAGGAAATGAAATCGCCGATTCATGAGACGAAGGAGGAATCAAATGAAACAGCGAAGAATTTTGTAAAAATTGAATCTCCGATTGCTGATACTTCCAAGATACCTCCAGGTGTATCGAAGAAGCCATCACCAGAAATAAAGCCTGAAGAACCAGTGGCAAGAGGTCGAAAGCGAAAGAACAAAGCAGATTCGAATGAAACTAAAAAGCAACCACTTCCACCTGCAACCTCAATTTTAAATGAGAATTCTTGTAAAGAGATTGACGTCAAAGACAGGTCAGAAAGTTCAGTTAAAGATCTTGAGAATGCAATGTCCAAGCATCTTCCATCGCCATCATCGAATCATGCGACTGACTTTAGCACTGATTCGCTATTAAAACATCAAGACAAAGAATCAACTTGGAATGCCAGCAGCGCATCAAACTACGGAGATCAACAATCTCCAGTCATGCCAGCGACCTCATTGTTAAGACAACTTTATGCTAATCGTGAAAGTGTTATCAGAGCGGCAAGGCCAAGCTACGTTTATCCTGATGGAGCACTTCCCACACCTCCTGGTGAATATCCAAACGAAACTTATCCAACAAATTATGCAACTTCTTATGGTGCAAATCCTGTTGAATACAATAACAATACAATGACACCACCAAGCTCTGTATCGCCACGTGATTTGAGTAACTTAAGTAGCAAAGCAGCAGCGGCAAGTTATGAATATAATCATTACCCACCACCCAATGAATCAACCGTACTGCAACTTCCACTTAAACCTCAGCCATACTCCATTCATCCAAATTATCCCGAAGGTCATTCGCAATATTTCACTCATCATCCTGGCTTTTGGTATCCAACTCCAACGTAATTTTATTAAGACAAAAATTTATTGAGAATAAAAGAAAAGTTCTTACCTTAGAAACATGTATAAATAGAGAAACCAACTTTAATTGCTTCCAACAATGATGTTCCGATGTAAATTTGAGAACCAGAATACTCTTTTCAAAATATTTAGTCTTCTTGTCTATTAACTTATGCGCCAAAACAAGAACTAAGAATACTCAAAATTTTCTTGTATTTAATGATGAAAGTTTTCACACATATCGTACTTTATAATAAATTAAAATAAAGCTTTTCTATACTTAAATTTATATAAAATTGCGCATTGATCTGAGTTCTTTTTAAGCTTTAAGTACATGTAAATAAGAAGAAATTACCTACTGAATTTAAAATATTTACCATGTGCAATACATTTTGAAGCAAATTCTCTCCTTTTTTTATTAATTAAATTAAAGAGAAAGCAAATATCTGATGTACATAAATGATATTTAGAAGAAAATGAAAGGCATGTAATCACTAGATAATCAAAACCTTCGAAAAGAATAAAAATTCAATGTTTCAACTGATAAAACGTGAGTTTATTTGATTTGAGTTAGGTAAATGAAATCGTCAACATTATCTTAAATCATGAATTAAAAATTCATTGAGATCATCAATTTCCAATCTTCAAAGATAAATTTTAAAATCCCTACAGAAGAAATAAAGTCGAGATATGAGAAAATCTTTGTTGAAAGCTTCAAAGTGAATAATTGCACGTAGTTAAAATCATCGACGTTAAGCATTCAGAATCATTCTTATAACTGTTATAATGAATAAAATGTAATAAACCACACGAATGTTGTAAAACATTTGTAAGGTTTCAAACTAGTGCGATAGAAGAATTTAAAGCTTCAAAAGTTTTTCCTTCAGGATGTTGACAGCTTTCAATTATCTTATGATTTATTAATCTACTTATGAAAGTTTAAATAATTATGTATCAAGCGTATTTAATATCAACCTTTTCTCTAAAACTTTAATCTGTTACAATGATAAACAACTTCACATGTTTATTTTTATGTCGTTTAATTTCGAGCAAATTTCTCTCACATTTTTTATAAAGCTAACAACACAGATCTGTTTGCTCCCTCAGTCGAAAAACGTAAGCGATGGCAGAAAGTTCTGATTATATTTTTATGCTGTTTTGAGGAAGAGCATTTCTCATGGTCGATAAATTATACATCACGAATGGAACAAGTTAAAGTTTCATTGAAAAAATTAATTAAACAATTAATCAAAAAACACTTTCAAGTGCAAAAAGTCGACAGTGTCAGAGAGTGTGTGCATTTATTATCATTTAAAGTGTATAAATGAAAATAGATGTAAATTAGAATTTAATAAATTGAACCATTTCAAAGATAAATAAGGAAAGAAAAATGATATTTTGTGTATCTTATAATAACAAATTTATTTCAACATGAAAATTAGACTTGGACATTTTATCTCAAATATTTACACAAATGAAGATTAATTTGAATATTTAGACAAGTGTGGACGAAAAAAAAGAAGAAAGAAAGAAGAAATTAACAGAAAAGAATTGCATCTCAAAGCCAAAACGAAATCAGCAGAGGTGTAGCAGTTGATCAACTTCCCAGTGTGACGAATGAAATATTGTGTCAAGTGAAATATCATTTACCCAATCATAGAACGAACAAAAAAAAATAAATCATGGGGAAGCAGACTGAAAACAACAGTCGAAGTAACACTGAGCCAGATGATGACTACGAATTGAAAGTGCTAATCGACAAGTGTAATGTGTGTCACTCAAATTCGGGTACTGACCATCACAAGCTGTGTAAACATCACGGTGAGAGTCAATAAAAACTTTGGAAATTTGAAACAAATTCTTTTAATTAATTATACTTTAAAAATTGTCAAAAATAGATTCTCAATTTAATGACTGAATGACGGAAGAAGTTAACTCAACTATGACTTATTTACTTTAAATTAGTAATAAAACTTGAACTCTTGACCCTCTCGATGTCTTCTTTAATTATTTATTCAAATCTATAAAGACATAAAATTCTGTTTTCTTCTTCTCGTGCGAACCTAAAATGACTTCAATCGACTTTATTTCTTAATGCTTCGTAAATCTCGATTAAGCTGAAACAAAATATGCTTATTCGTTGATAATAAATTTTGCCGGTTTCGGAAATATCAATGAAAATTATAAACGCTTCACACTGCTTTGTTTTTAATCAAACATCGTGATATCGTATAATACATAAAAATAAAAATGTGTGCATTGAGAATATTACTCAGCATCCAATTTAGTTATATGAAAGTATAAAATATTAGAAGTGATATCCACATATCAGCCATTATCTCCAATAAAGAAAATCAAGTGTAGAATAAACACGAATCTTATTATGTCGTTACAAAAATTCAAGCTAGACGAGATGTAGCCAAAAAATGCTTACAAAACTCTTTCTAAATGAAGACTTGAAATAAATGAATGAATAGACGAAATGTGTGTTGTGTCAACAGACTTATTAGCTCCAATTGATCTACACACACGATACATCTTGAATTTAATTCCGTCAAGTGGACACTTCAAAACGTCTTTCAAGTTTGCTTGAGATTAACAACAAACTTCCGAACTGAAAAAGCGCCCACTTGAAGCATTTGATAACTTACTGTTGTGATTTTCCAAAGAAAAACGATTGCGTGGGTGGTATTTGTTTCAATTTCTAACAACTTAAAACTTTTAACAAGAAGCTTGTAAATCTCAAACTTAAAAGAGATGAAAAACTTTCATTCTTTGTTTATCTTTCCACAAAAACTTAAAGTTTCTTCGTTCTCCCACTTTGAGTAAACAAACATCGTTGAATAACCTCCGAATGTGAATTGTTTTCATGTAAAGTGCATAAATTCATCTCAGAAAGATTCATGAATTGAAAGGAAAGAAAATGTTGTTGATTTGATGTTGTAAAAGAGAAATTTAAGAAAAACATTTTCCTTATTTTCTTTTCTCTTCACAATCGCGAGTATAAAAATATCACACATGATATGTATAAAGTGATTGTTACATTGAAAAACATCAGATGAGAGAAAAGAAAAATTCTCTCGTGGAAATTCTTCTCTTGTTTATATTTTGCTGTCGACTGATGCATGATTTATGATGCACAATCACATTGTCTTACTTCAGTGTTTGAGAAGGAAGTTACAAGAATTTAATTAATCATTCTGATGGGAAAGAAAGAGTTGTAAATCTAAATGAAATCAATGTAAGCTTATTTAACGTGATTTCTGTGACAAGAATAGTGAAAATCTGTACGTGCAAATATTCTACGTGAGAGAAGCACACGCTCACTGATAGCAGCACGTTGAAGACAGCTAACGAGAGAGAGAGGAAAGAAAGACTTTTGTTCGCATCTCGGGATGAGTGGAAATCTCTTGAGAACAAATAAATAAAATAAAAAAATACAAACACGATGTTCACATATCGAGCGAGTTTTTCTTGCTGTGCGATTGTATATAATAAAAGCTTACCAACCTTTATTGAAACTTAGTTACTCTCGAAACTCGTGACTGATGAGTCGCAAGTGAAGAAAAGTTGGGAAATTCTTTTTTTCTTTCAATCATACGGTGACAGAGAAAATATTTTTGATTCTGTGAAAGAAATGAATCTGTTGATTTAAATTGTTATTTTATGTGTTCGAAAATTTATATTTGTAACTTAAGATTAAGGCGAGTTAGGAACAATGAAGATTGACTTGAAGAGAAAAAAAGATTTCTCGTCGAAATAAAAACGCAAGTGTTGAAGTGATTTACAGAGATTAGCGAGAATTCATGACAAATGCATTAAAAGTGAGTGCTTTTGAATATTGGAGATGTCAAAGGAATCATAAGAAATTTTACACCTGATTTTTAGACTTTCTAAGATGAATTTCAAATAAATCGTATTAATTATTTTTGTCGTGTTGCCAAATTTAATTTACCTCTTTTTAACCCTTCGCGTGGAGACTGTTGTGGTATCGTTCATAGTAATATTAAAAAAATAGAATGAGATGAAGGAAAAAGAAAATATTACGTCGATTGACGATGAGAGTGCGTCTGACGCTTGAAATAAAGTTAAATGAAAAGCGAGAAGATAATAAAAGATGAAAAAATTTATTTGACTGTATGAAAAGTAAACAAAATATCTTGCAGGTGTAACAAAAATACTAAAGTCGAAGACCATTTTGTTATATTTTCTTTTTTCTAGTGTGAAATTTAAAATTTTTGATGTGTCGGAAGCTGTTTTCATTTTTATGAATTGTTTTATTAAGACGTCGGTGTTTTTTAAATTATAAATTAGTTTAAAACTTTTAATCACTAATCTCGTCAATGAAATATTTTTATTGCAATTTCATTCATTTGTTGATAAATGTTTTAACGCATCTGTGATTTGTTTTTATTAATTTTAATGTTCTGTTGTGTGAAAATATTTTAATTTTAAATTCTTTTAATAAGTTGTAAATTTTTAAGCATGAGACAATTGACACGACATTTAATTTTAAAGAGGGAAACAAAACTTTATGCTTGTCTATTAAAATATTTTAAGATTGATTGATTCATCGCGTTTTTTAACTTAAGAAACGCAATCAAATAATCACAGAAAGAATTTTTTTTGCAGTTGTCGTGACCTCAGAAATTCTCGTTTTCGGCTGATAAATAAATTTTGAGCGGCTTCAATTGAAACAGCGAGGTTAATAACATTCTATCTAATCTTTAGATTCCTTTCAGACTAAACATTTGAAACAAAATCCATTGAAATTTGATTTGAAACTTGCAGCAACATGTCATGCTGTTTGAAATTCATTTTAATTTTAAATCCTCTCTTGTTTCAATTGACTAGAAGATTTACAAAGTCACTTGGAAACAGTCGATCACAAACAATTAAATTCTTTTATCATTTTATTTGCATCCATCGTCGTCTGGGTATTTGGAAAAGTCAAGGGAAACTTTTCTATGAATATGTCAGGAAATTTATTTTTATCAATGACTGTTGACGTTACAAACTTCAGAATTCCAAGTCAAATGCTGGGCAAACACAAAAGTTTATTAAAAAATTTTTTTTCTCCTTGATCCAAAGGACAAATAAAATATTTTCAACTTTATAAGCAAATTTCCGCTTATCTAAAGGAAATCAGGAGAGGAAATTTTTTTCCGGAAAATTAAAACTGTTTCCTTTAGGACTTTAGAAAATTTTTCACCAGGAAGTTGATTTATTTTTAAAAGAATTTCGAGTATGTAGATTTCTATTATGTAGGAATTGATTTAAGGTTGATGTCACTTGAAATGGAAAATAAGTCTCGATGGAGAATTTATGACTTACCTAATTTATGAATCGATCCACAGCAACTTTTCTTCCTTCTCAACAATATGTAACAAACGAAATTCCTATCGAGCTTTTTATTCTGCCGTTTTGCCCTATTGGTTCTTGATTAAATTCTCTTTATTTGACATGCCACAATACACTGACAGTTGAATTGGAAATAAATTCTCGAATCTTAATCTACAAAGCTACAAACGTAATAAAAATTTGTATGTCATTTCGTATACAAATTGATAACACAATTTGCGCTCTCTTTGATTGTCAGTTTATTTATTCGCTTCTACGATTACGACTTTTTAAATGACTAACTTTAGATTTACGTCCTTATGAAACTTGAATATTTATACATTTATTTGTTTCGTTGAAAAGGAAAAGTAGGAAATGTGGAGAAGTGGTAAACCAGAATCAACTTATAACATTGTATTTGACATCGGTCACTGCATTGAACATTTAATTTATTCTGATTCCACCCACAACATATATCGATTGAATTTACATGGTTAAAAGGTCACATGATGCAATGATGCAAATGTGGAACTTTCGATCCATTGTGATTTATCGTTATGTAACAATCGTTGTTATGAATTCAGTGAAATGAAAAATAGGGTCAAGGTTGGGGAAAGTTTCATGAAGCAAATGAAAAGCAAAACAGGATAAAAACATGAGATGAGAATAAAAGAAAATTTTTATTATGATTTTCCTTTGATACAGCAAACATTATGCCGAAGCCAAACTCCACTGAATCATCAACAACAAACTTTCAAGATCCCGTGCTAGTGAATTCCTCTAACTCAAACTTAAACTCAAGAATGATTGAATCAAATGAGAGAAATGTGAAAAAGAAAGTTCAAATCGATGATGAATGTGATTCAATCGGAGATTTAATTGGACATTACGGGAAGTGGCAGTTCGTCATGACAATTCTTTTATCTCTTTTTCAAGTGCCAAACACATTTCACATCTTCTCACCGACATTTCAAGTAACTTTCAATGATGATTTTTGAGACTTCAAAAGCTTTGCTAAATATTTTGATTACAGGCAGCAGACAAAGACTTTTGGTGTAAACGACCGCCAAATCTATTAAGCAACGTCACAAGTATAGAAGCTTGGCGTGATGTTTCAAATTCAACAGAAAATTGTTACAGATATGATTACGAGTGGTCCACATTATCATCTCGTCAAATAAATGTAAATACAACTTCATTCGAATCCTGAATGTTCTTTTCACATTTGCCGATAAAAAATCTTTTTCTCGTCTCCCATTTAAAGGAAAATTATTCAATTCCAAATACAACAAAGATGATAGAATGTCAAGAGTGGGAATTCAACATGACGGATGGTCTGGGCAATACGTGGAATAGCGAATGGAATTTAGTTTGCGATAAGAAATATTTGAAGATTGTTGCTGAAATGATTTTTCTCATCGGTGTCGCAACCGGTGGCATCATCTCGGGAATGCTTTCGGATAAGTTTGGTCGTAAAAAAATGCTTTTCATCTCTGCTGTGTTCCAATCATTTTTCGGTAAATACCTTTTTGGCTTGTAAGCTTATAAATGTATCCTTTTGTGGTTTGTTCATGATTTCAAATTTTCTTTCCTTCTTTCTTTCCCTCGACATGTCTCTCAGGTCTCGCTTTATACTTTGTGGAATCGTTCGAGATCTATTTAGTATTGCGGGCACTTTTGGGCATAGCATCAGTGTCAGTGACGTATTCAGGATTAATTCTAGCGATTGAATATGTTGATGGCGTTTGGCGAACAATTGCTGGAATGTACAACTTATTTCCACTGCCACTCTCATACATCATGATATCAGGCATCGCTTACTTAACGCAAGATTACAAATATTTGCAGTTGTGTATAGGATTGCCGGGAGTGTTTTTATGTCTTCTTTGGTATGTACAAAATGTTTGAATTGATTTTCTGTTAACAACATTTTACATCATCAAGTGAGATTAAAGCAAAGTTCAACCATAAAATAAATAATCAGAGCGATTTAAAATGGAAATTACTTTGTTAAATGTCATAAATTGAATCAACATTCAACAGGGTAGTGTGACTTGCTTTTATATGTATGACGAGAAGTTTTAAGGCTTATCAAATGTTTGCTTTCTGACAGTTTTCTGAAAAAGTCTTCAAGGCGAAGGATCTTTCCTAGATTGCTAATTTGTATTATTTACTCATTCATAATGTTTTAACCACTCAAAGATTATTCAAGTGCTGTTCATCTAAACGAATTAAATGCAAAGCTTAACGAAATTTAATTCAGATTTTCAACAAATCCCATAACATGCTTGATGGGATTTGTAGCTGTCAGAAAGATTAATTTAGACAAACCAAACAATTTTCATGAGTCACTTGAGATTAAAATGAAGTTAAGAGATTTTTGATTTAATAAAATGTAATAATTTAAAATGAAATGTTGTTGTGTCAATGAGTTATGGAAGTAATTATTAATTTTCATGATTTTCCAAACACGAGTACGAAATCCTGAAGGGAAATTTTTAATAGCTTTTGACACTTAAAACATTTATTTAATTAAATATAAGTAAAGCTCATAAGTGAACTGTCAGCAAGTTGTCATTACGACAATTTCAACTTCACAACATAATTCAAGCTTTTAATATGTGAAAACTTTTTAAAATATTTTCATGACACGTGTTGAAAGTTTCACACTCTTCTTTATTAGAATAAAGTCTTAGATTAGTTTTATGATGAGCAATTGACACAATGAGTACAGAACTTGAAGAAACTGAATGCGAACAATATTGACGATTTTTTTTTGCTCATAAATTTTCACAATTGGCCAATGGCCAGTTCAAAGTTATGAAGGAATTTCACATATTTGTTCCAATGATGAGAAACAGTAGGACAGTCTGTAAACAGATGTTTTTGCTGATTTAAAATATCGTGACATGCGAACGAGACAGTGAAACGATAAGAATATTTATGGCGTCTTATAATAATGACAAGATTTTTGTTTTACTTTCATCTGTCAATTTCTTTCACAGGTTTGTCGTTCCCGAGTCACCACGATGGCTGCTTTGTAAGGGTCGTGTTAGTGAAGTGAAGCAAATTATTAAGAAAGCTGCGCATTTTAATGGACGTGAATTACCTGAAAATCTTGACAAATATTTAAAGCCACCCTGCAATGCTGAAGAGTCGGAATCAGGGGTCATTGAACTCTTCCGTACAAAATATCTTCGAAGAGTTACATTCTGCTTCCTCTGCATTTGGTTTACAATGAATCTCGTCTACTACGGCCTAGTACTCAACATGAACAGCTTTGGAGGCAACATTTATGTCAATAGCGTGAGTTTTCTTTTTCCTTTTCTCTAAATAAATTTAGAACATTCGTCTAGAAAGAACAACAAAGTGAAATGAAAATAATTTCCAGACATTTCATAAATAGAAATTTTATATTCGCGTACTGCATGCAACAAATTATTCTTAAAAAAATACCACAAAATTCATTCTATGTATCATTTTCATTTTGTCTCAAACTTTTAATTCGTTGAAACATGAATTTGTTTGCTTTAACTTCTTGGATGCCTTCCAAAACAAAGAAAGAAAATTTAATATTTCCACAAATCAATTTAGCAAATGAAAAGAGAAGAAGCAAAAAGTTGAGAAATTAATACAATTGTAAAGAGTCATGTTTATGTGAAATATTCAAGATCAAAGTGATTTAAGTGTTGATTTGTGAATTCTGCTTTTCAACTATCATATTTATCAATTTAATTTTATTTTTATGATTTATTTATTTAATTTCATTTTTGCTTTCCTGCGTGTTCAATTCTTGAAAAAAAAATTTCATCCAACGCCTCAAAGTTATGCAAGACGCAAAACTTGAAAACTTTTTTTTGCTTCCATTTTCAGGCTTTAGCTGGTCTCGTTGAGATACCAGCAATTGGAATAGCGATGTACATCATCATGAAGACAGGAAAAAAATGGCTTTTCTCAGCAACTTTCCTAGCAACAGGCATTTCATGTTTCTTTGCTACAATTTTTGAAGGAAACGTTCACATGTTGTGGTTGAAAATTACTTTCGTCATGATCGGTAATGAAAAAATAAATCAGAAAAGGCAAAACAAAACATTCTAAAGACTATTTTTAATTTTAACTCAAAGGAAAATTCACTATAAGCGCAGGCAATACAATCATGCCAGTTTACACAGCTGAATTATATCCAACGTCGATTCGCAATATTGGAGTTGGCGCTTGCAACGTTGCCGCTGGAATGGCACTCGTACGTTACAATAAACTTTATAGTGAACTTTAATTAATTCAATATTTTATCTAGGTTTTAACTCCAGCATTATCTGAACTGGTCAGTTAACTTTTCCCTTATGTTTATTCTCTCATAATAAATTTTCTTCTTTTTCTAATTCGATTTCCATTCAATCTGAATCTGAACAGAACACAATAGGAGGTCATTGGCTTATGACCTTGCTTACAGCATGGAGTCTGTTTGGTGCAATCGTAATTGTCTTTCTGCCTACGACAATAGAGAGGCGTCAATCGCCACAATCATCAAACAACGATGAGAGATAAGTGAATTAAGTTTTTGTCACATTTCATTGAGAAAATTTACTAAAAGAAGGAAAAGAGAAAAAAAAAGAATATTAAGGGAAAATCGATGTCATTGAATGTTTTCTGTATTATTTTTTCTATATCTGGACAATAATCAAGTTGAGTTGTATAAAAATCCAAAAGATGAAGAGGAAAATTTATTTACTGAGCACGATGCTTAAAAGTAAAATTTTCAACTTTAACATTCAACGAAAAAAAAAGTAAAAATTATGATTTTCAATTGGATATTTTGTAGGTGGGGGTGGTGGTGGTTGTGTACTGTGTTTCAAATTGAATATCGAGATATTAGAAAGTTTAGATTTATTTGATTGGAATATGTCATATTTCTCATTGCTTCCCTTTACCAGCCAAAAGAATTAAAATTGTGTACAACTTATAGTCTCATGAATAAACAGGAAGCGTGAATCTAGCAAACGTTTAAATTTAAATCTTAGCTCAATTTAAATAACTTAACTTTAAATTATTGCGAATGGTGTTCATGTCATGAGATTTTTTTTAAATGTTTTGTTGAGAACCAATATGGGAAGAAACTAAACTTGAATCAATTACTAAACATTAAGAAAAATAGTTTATGAAATAAATCTGCGTAGATTATGAATCATCGATGTTCTTGCATTTAAACTAGAAACTCCTCTCATTTCATCTTTTTACATAATTTGGCTGGTCCAAATGTTTACAATAGAATCGCAAATAAATATTCATAAGTTTATGACGAAATATTTTTTCAGAAAAGAGAATTACAAGAAACAGTTGAGTAAAAGTTTTTAAATATTAATTAAGCTATTTTTGAGTACTTATGTTTGTTGTTTAAATAATTTTTTGTCAAGAAATCATTTTTTCATTTATTGATCACTAATTTTATTATTTTCTATTGTACTTAAAGAGCTTAATCAATTAACGAATAGATTCATGAATTAAACAATTAATCGTTGTTGTATCAAATGCATTTAGAGATATCAAACCATTTAATTAATATTTAAATTTAATGCAATTCTTAGGTCAAAACATTTCTAATTGTTGTTGATGAAAGTCACATATTAAATAAATGATTAAATGTAATTAATATAAGTAGA